CTTCCTTCCCTCCATGCAGCTGATGCTCAGTTAAGCAGTTTGTGGAGGACATAATGATCTTAGCAATAGTGCAAACTGTAACTAAGTAGCAATCATGTATACAAAACAGTTATCTCGGTTTACTCATCTCTATGCAAGATTGCTGAGGGTCAGCATGGAATAACAGCTTGCATATTGGACTATTACTTTGAAGACCAGGGTTTGGATCCCCCTTAGTCATGAAACCCATTGGATGATCTTGGGCAAATCATACTCTCTTGGTATCAGAGAAAGGCAAAGGCAAACCAATGAACAATTCTCACATAGAAAACCAATGGTTTGGCTTAGGATCACCATATGTTGGAAATAACTTGAAGGCACAAAACAACATTTTCATAATTGCTACTTAATCATGATTTTGATATTATTGCCATGATTGTACCTCTGTTGGCATTGAATTGTTGCCTTGTGAACTGCCCTGAGTTGCCTGCAGTGTGAAAGGAGCGGTATACAAATGTCGAAAATAAATAAATAAATCTGCCCCCAACCTGTTTTACTGGATATTTACTGCATGGGGAGGATATCCAATTTGTCAGTGGGTGAGTATAGTTGAATGACATTTCCATCAGGTTGGAGAAGGGGGTCAAGCCAGAAAAATTAATTAATTAGGCCCCATCTATTTATTTATTTAAATTTAAAACTTATATTCTGCCCTTTCTCACCCTGAAGGGGACTCAGGGCAAAGCACAACATGGCAAACATCCAGGACATAAATAGATTATACACATACATAAACATTAAAATATTTTATTTCAACATTAAAATCCACTGTTTAAAACTGCCTCAGTCAACCACATCGAATCTAGCTGGCGTGGTAAGGTTTCCTATTGCTGCCTTATTGCACTACACTGACTATAGCAGCCAGACAACAGAAATCTTTACAAAAACAGAAATCTCTTAACATGCATTAGTGCTCTGTGGTTTGTGTCATCACCATCTGAGCTTCAAGCTGGTTCTAGGATTCTCTATGTGGTCATAAGGAAACTGCATTAAAAGGTCAATGTAGTTGGGCCTCAATTAAATATACTTAACTAAGCCACTGATAGAAGATTCTGCCTATTTTCTGTTTTAAAAAATGCAGTTTTTATGGCTTTCTCATAGCAAGGAGAAACATGATAAAAATTCTTTATTCTTTTATACCAAAAGGAAATTTATGAAGATTTATATTTCTAGTCAAAGACAAATTGATGGAACCATAAAGCCACCATGTTTTAGAATGAAACCCATTCTGAAATCCTACACATGCACACAAAAAAGTGAAATTGAGATCCCAGGAGGAATAAAGCCCCAACACTTGAGATTCTCCACCTCTATTTTAGCATTTGAGATCTCAGCCTTTTCTTGTTTGAAAGCCATGAAATGCATCAGTGAGTGTTATAAGCACAAGAGTAACTAAAAGCTCTAAATATGTGGAAGGAGAGTTCTCTCTCTGTCCTCACTGAAATGTAAGCCTTAGAACTAGGATGAAAAGTTTCTCTCAGATTTGGTGTTGATGTGCAGTGGGATAGCCAGAGACCAGAGATGTGGAGTGGCTCTTCTTTTGAAGTCCCATCCCCTGCAAGCTTGACACTATAGAAGGATTTTCAGTTCTCTGATGTAAGGAAGTTGAATGACTTCAAAAAGAAGTCTTGGGAGTTTATGCAGGTGGAGTGCCAGCTCAAAGGCAGAGCACTGTAGCACTCTACTGCTTTGTCTGTATACTAACAGCATTTTAACACCCCTCTTTTACAACAGCAGATCAAGAAAGCCTCCTGCTGGAACTCCATTTATGTAGGTATATCCTCCTTTCACTAGTCTGCCAAGGGGGGAAAAAGTTTGTGTTCTACACAACAGAGCACAGAGATGGCATAGTTTCTTGAAATCATGTATGAGAACATACAGATATATACCACAAGTAGGAATGAATATGTAGTCTGATAGGATTTATCAATGTATGAATGAAGCATTTCGGGAATTTCTCTATTGTTGATGGCAGGAATAGTGAGCAAGTATTCTGTGTGCTTAATAGACTGAGAGATAAGAGAGGGAGCAAAGCAGCTCCATCCACGTTCAACATCTACACAAATGACCAGCCACTGCCAGAAGGGACAGAGAGTTTCATCTATGCCAGGGGTAGGGAACCTTTGGCCCTCCAGCTGTGGTGGACTTCAACTCCCACAATTCCTTGAGGCTCGGCATTCGCCCCAAAGGCTTACCTTGGCCCAATGCCGAGCCTCAAGGAATTGTGGGAGTTGAAGTCCACCACAGCTGGAGGGCCAAAGGTTCCCTACCCCTGATCTATGCTGATGATCGTGCCATTACTGCTCAAGCAGGGAGCTTTGAGATGGTAGAACAGAAGCTTTCCGAAGCTCTAGGTGCTCTTACTGCCTATTACAGGGAAAACCAGCTGATCCCCAACCCATCTAAAACACAGACATGTGCCTTACATCTCAAGAACAGAGAAGCATCCCGAGCTTTGAAGATCACCTGGGAAGGGATCCCACTGGAGCATTGCAGCGCACCCAAATACCTGGGAGTCACTCTGGACCATGCTCTTACCTACAAGAAGCACTGCCTGAACATCAAGCAAAAAGTGGGTGCTAGAAACAATATCATACGAAAGCTGACTGGCACAACCTGGGGATCACAACCAGATACAGTGAAGACATCTGCCCTTGCGCTGTGCTACTCTGCTTCTGAGTATGCATGCCCAGTGTGGAACACATCTCACCACACTAAAACAGTGGATGTGGCTCTTAATGAGACATGCCGCATTATCACGGGGTGTCTGCGCCCTACACCACTGGAGAAATTACACTGTCTAGCCGGTATCGCACCACCTGACATCTGCCGGGAAGTGGCAGCCAATAGTGAAAGGACCAAGGCAGAGACATCTCCAGCTCATCCCCTGTTTGGGTATCAGCCAGCACGTCAACGACTTAAATCCAGACATAGTTTTCTAAGATCTACAGAGACACTCGCTGGAACACCTCAGCAAGCGAGAGTCCAAAAGTGGCAGGCTCAAACCCAGAACCTCAATCAATGGCTGATACCAAATGAGAAACTCCCTCCTGGCACACAGAAGACTGGGAGACTTGGAAGGCACTGAACAGACTGCGCTCTGGCACACGAGATGCAGAGCCAACCTTAGAAATGGGGGTGGAATCCACGACATGTGAGTGCGGAGAGGAGCAAACCACTGACCACCTGCTACAATGCAACCTGAGCCCTGCCACATGCACCGTGGAGGACCTTCTTGCAGCAACACCAGAAGCACTCCAAGTGGCCAGATACTGGTCAAAGGACATTTAATCAACTACCAAACTCACACATTTTGTACTTTCTCTGTTTGTTTGCTTTGTTCTGTTAGAAATGTAATATAATTGACTGGCTGCCCTGACACGAGAAATAAAAAAAAAGCTGCAGAATTAGTGTTGGAATATTTGGACTTGGTTCTCAAATAATACACATAAAAGAATGGGATACAGCAATTTATTCACCCAGCATGAAAAACATGACAGTTAATGTCAGCCACAAAGCAACATATAGGCCAGTGCCTTTTTTCATTGCAAGGTAGATTCCTGCGTTTTAAACTTCTCCCAGCCTTGACTGGTTAGCACTATCTGTGTCTATGCTGAAGCATTATCATCTGCAGAGGTGCAAACAATTACCTCAAATTCCAGTTGCTTGCTACATGGAGGATATTTTTCAGTTCAAAAAACACAGCAAGACAAAAGAAAAATAACTCAGCAAATCAATCACATTTGGCCATTGTGGGAACTTGTTGTTTCAGCCAATGTGACATACTATTACATGTTCTAAGCTTTCTTTCATTCAACCATGATACAGTGGTGGCATACTTTGGCAGTCAGTCAGTTAACTCTACATAGGAAATCAAAATTACATTTGGGAAGGGATTGAGAACCTATGGGGGTGTTAAACCCTAACAAAAACTGGCCCAAACTATGGCCCCTCTATGCCACGTGTTTCTCATAACTTTAACAATGCAACTTTTTATCCTTCTGCATGAGGATAAGATTATGATTAGAGCTACACTGAGTCTGTGCATGTAGTTTAGTTGTATCTGTAACAGAAATGTAATGTTAGAAGGCCCTTTTGAACACAGACCTGACACCTACAAGAGCCAGTGTGGTATACTGCTTTGCGTGTTAGACTCGTAGTCCAGAAGACCAAGGTCCTGATCCCTGCTTAACCATGGAAATGTACTGGGTGACCTTTGGTCTCTCAATTTTAGAGAAAAGTGATGGAAAACCTCTTTTGCCTAAACCTTGCATACAAAAATAACCCAATCCTATGATAGGGTTGAAAGGAACACAAGCTGGTGTTGACATGGAGGCACATAACAATAACAAGCCAGCTACTCATTGCTTACAGTTCAGCTACTCAAAATTGTAAAAAAAAACAACAAAAAACCCCCTCAAGTATGTTAATATAATGAACATAATTGTTCGAACCTCTGAGAAGGCCACCAAAAATTTAACCAAACAGCAAGAAAACCCAGAGACACTAATTTATTTCCTTCTAAATCTATATTCTTTTCATATGTCATGTGTGTGTGTGTGTCCATGTGGACTGGAATCCTGTTACCATTCAGGTTCAGAGATCCAGTTCAAATATTACTAGGCCAACATAATTTCTATGTCCTTGGATATGAACTCTCTGTTGGATTGGGTGAAAATACTATAGGAATCCAATATTCAGTTGTTGGCACTGTGGAACTGAAAAGACTTTCTTGCAGCTATAAACTTCTTTAGGAAAATACGAAAAACATCTATGCTCTAGCTCCAATTTTGTGCAATTTATTCTAAAAAGTATGTATTGAAAGACCTTTAAAATGATTTAACAAAGATCTGTCTCTCAGAAATCGCAGGACATCCAAGGAGGGTTTTTTTAAAAAAAAAACGGCTTTAAAATATTTAATGTTTGGTCCTAATCTCTGTTTTTGTGTTGTTGTCTTTCAGGCAACCAGTGTGAAGTGGATATAGATGAGTGTAATTCAGCACCTTGTCTCAACAATGGAAGCTGTGTTGATGACATCAATTTCTACAAGTGCTACTGCCGAAGTGGTTTTCTTGGGATAAACTGTGAAATAAATGCTGACGAATGCTTGTCAGCACCTTGTCATCATGGAAGGTGGCTATTTTCATTTTTTACTATTATTGCCCCTTAGAAATAAGAAGAGCTGGCAACATTTAAGATTTAATGCCAAGGATGCTTGCTGAAGATACTTCTAATTTCGTTGTTCATAGAGGAACAAAAGTACAGGCACAGTTAAAGGATGACAGATGTTGCCAGTTTAAGCTAATGCAATATAGTGGGACATTATCTCAGTTCTTCTTTCATTTGAAGGCAATAACATAAAGTGATTTTCAATAACTGTGTATTAATTAGGCTTTAATATACTTATGAGTAGTTGTTCTGCCTTTGCATTCCAGCAGGTTTTAACAAGGTCTCTTCCATTTGAAAGTACGGGGGTTTGCATTTGTATATGTGTGCGTGTTAAATTCTTCACAAAATGATTGCAGCCACCGCACAGTAAAGCCACAGGGACATTTTCTCTTATGTTCAATGGGGCACTGTCAGGGTTAGTCTGAAATCAATGAAGGAGTGCAATTGGTGCTGTGTTGGAAGGAGGCATAATTACATAGGCATTGTGTGAAATGAGTTTTTGTTTTTTTAAGATGCATCGATCTTATAGATGGCTATCAATGCTACTGTGAAGCCGGATGGACCAGTTCAAGATGTGAAATTGACATTCATGTAAGTCTTCCCAGTAAAAGCAGAAGATATTCATAAATGTAAAACTCATTGTTGGACTTCACATCACCTGCAGATGAGTCAAGAAAGCAGACCCATCTTGTACATTGCTTAACAGCATCACAAAAGTGATCTGCTGATGGCCATGACCTCTATAGCTGCTGAGTTTGCAGTGAATTTCAGATATATAACATCGGGTACAGAACAAACTAAATATGTTAATTGGATCATATTGAGCCTACTAAACATCAAGAGAAATATAGGTGTTCAAATGAGTACAGATAAGTATTTTCATGGAGAGCTGACGGCAGGTAGTAAATAGAATTTGACTGCAATTCCTACTGAAATATTTATTATGATAACAGCTATGGCATCCCTGCAAACAATTGTGATAAAACACTTTTGAATACCAGCCCATTGTATATGTGTGAAATGAGTTTTACATTTATTTATTGATTTGTAATCTGAGAGTGTAAGTGAAGGGAAATATAACAATATGTAAATATAGACATTTCTGTTAGCTTAGCCATCTCCTCCTTCTCCACGTCTAGAAAGGTGTGTATGTAGAGAAATTAGGAATTCTGGAGCGTAACAACCATTCCCTGAATTGAGAGTCAACCACACAAGCCTGTCCGCTCTATCATTTTTGCTACTCTTAGAAAACGTGTCCCCGTGCAATCATCTTCAGTTAATGGTTGTGATTTTTCTTTAGGGAGCTTGACTTATTTGATTTTCCATTCTCATTTGTTCCAAAAGAGGCATTAAATTTTCTGCAGACCTTGTAACTTAATTCATTAAGGAACAGATGCCGACTCCTTCTGTACCACTAGCAGAACTGTTTTATGTTTGCATTGTTTCCTGAATTAATGGCAGTCCATGGTGGGAACAAGAGAGTTTGAAAACTCCCGTTGTCGCTTTTGAGACTTATTTGTAGACTTATTTTCTCTTCTGAGCACAGTAGGCTGCCTGAATTATTTGAAATCTTAATGTCTTTGCTATTTAAGATGTTTAGGGCATGCTCCAGCCAAAGTTAAGCATTTTTACGTTCCATTGAGTTAATGGGAGACTTAAACATGTGGTTAAATATACCCCACTGGAAGCCATGGAACCAAAAAGTAGTACATGTGTCTGAATTGTAATGACTGCTCTTTATTATCTGAAATGCTGTTTTAAAGTTTGACATTAGTAATGTTTGTGTAAGAATTTAAAACAAATGTAATTTGGTATCTATTTGTAAAGAGGTTACCTACACCTTATTACATAGGTTTCCATTTGGTAACTTCTCCAGACATATTATAGATTTAACTACTACCAAGTTAATCATTTGTTGTTGTATCAAGAGTAACTTTAGTGGTAGATGCTACAGAAGGAATCCAAATGTGGCCATCCACCATCTCTTTTAACCAATGCAAACATAATCTTCTCTAGAGGGTTGGATGACTCCCTGGATAATGTTTAATGGTTATGGAGGTCTGGACAGTGGAAGAGAAAAGAAAACTATGTTCACAACCAGATATCCACCGGCATAAGACTATGCAGCATATGCAATAGATGCCAGAATGTTTGCTCATATTGTTGGGTAGGATCGGAAATATCAGCCATACTGTATGTTCTAGGTGAGACAAGAAGCTGGAATGAGCTTTGAAACTGAGCAGAAAGGCAAACAGACAAAACACAATAATTATGGTCAAATGACCTACCAAATCCCAGCACTGCTTTCAGTCTAGCTTATTCAAACCATGAGTGAAGAAAGATATAGTTTATTTCAAGCATTAGTGTTTTATAGAAATTTGCAGTTATGCGGACAATGACAAAGTGTACATGAGCAATATCTAATGCATACCTGTCAATCCTTGTCTTAAATATATGTGGCCAGAAAAGAATTTATCAGAATTTATTTGCTGATGAGAATGTTTCAAGGGTCTAACACTATATGATTTTAGATTCTGGTTGTTACATTTCTAGCATAGTACAAATGACAGCGTTCAGCAAGGCCATGGGGAGATATTAGCTGTGATAAGACTTCTTTAAAAAAAAAAACCTTCCCTAGACTCCTCTGTACTGGACAACTACAGGCCAGTCTCAAATCTCCCATTTCTGGGCATGTGGGGATTTGCAACTCCAAGGGTTCCTGGATGAAGCAGATATGTCATCTATACGCTTATGACATCCAACTCTATCACTCCTTTCCATTTAATTCCAAGGAAGTAGTACCTGTGCTGAACTAGTGCCTGGCAGCTGCAATGGACTGGATGAGTGCAAACCATTTGAAGCTTAATCCGGACAAGATAGAGCTGCTCTTGACCAGTTGTAAGACAGATCTGGGAATAGGGCATCAGCTTGCATTAGATGGGGTTATACTCCCCCTGAAAACACAGGTTCACAGGCATGAGGGTACTCCTGTATTATGATATAATCTGGGGCAGGCATGTAGCCAGGGGGGAGGGGGCTTGAGGGGCTTCAGCCCCCCCCCCCCCGAAATTCTCATGGTGGTTCGCGAAAAGGCCTTACTGGTGCATTATTTAAACTGTTATTTTTATTCATATCATGATCTGATCACCATACTCAATATATCCCATATGCATGGGGGTATTGGGGTAATGATACAAAAGGTTTGCTAGGCTAGACCCTCTTTCACTCAGACTCATCCCCCCCCGAAACTCAGCCCCCCCCGAACCCCCCCCTGAAATTTTTTTAGCCCCCCCCCCCGAAACGAAATCCTGGCTACGGGCCTGGGACATGGTGGTACATGTCTTGATTACAGCCAGATTAGACTACTGTAATTTGCTCTGTGTGGGGCTGCCTATTGGTCCAAAGAGCAGCAACCAGACTGCTAACAGGGGCTGGCTACTGGGCACGTACAACTCTTCTGTTGCAACAGCTCCACTGGCTGCCAACATGTTTCCATGCACAATTTGAAGTGCTGGTTTTGACGTACAAGGCCCGATATGGTTCTTGTCCATATCTCATTCTATGAACCTGGTAGACAGTTACTATCTACTGGGCAGGGCCTTTTCTCTGTCCCTTCACTCGCTCAAGTGTATTTGGTGGAAACACTAGAGATGACCCTTTTGGTGGCTGCTCCCAGACTGGAACTCCCTGCCAAGAGAGACATGGGTGGCCTTCTGCAGGCAAATTAAGACCTTCTTCTGCCAGCAGGCATTTGGGGAAGGACATGGGGCAGACTTTGGGGAGGTTGTGGGTGGGATTGAGGGAAGTGTAAATTTTAAAGGTGATTTAAGTTTAATTAATTATTATATTTTAACCTTTTTTATTACACTGTGATATTTGTTTTTTATCCTTGGTATTGCACTTTTTAAACTTGACTAAAATGTGGGATTGTTTGCAGCCTTGAGTCCCCTCTTTTTTTCTCTTTTTGGCTCTCAGAATTAGCCATTTCAAATTCGATATAGAGGCAAGCAGAATTCTGCACTGAATGCTTGCTTTTATTCCCAGCTTCATATAGAACTTTGATACTTTCCAATTTAATGCTTTCTCCTATGAACTATTATTTTAGGTTGATTTGTTCCCCATAAATTTTTATAGAGTGTAAAAAGAGAACAAAGCTATAAGAATGTTTGAAGTGCTAACAAGCTAAAGAATAAATGTGTGGAAAGAAACTTTTTAAAAAAGAAGCTTTGTGTGATTTAACACACAAGAACAGAACACCACTAATTTGAAACAAAAGATAGATCTCATGCTTTTTAAAAAAAGGATTTGGTGTATGCCATTATAGTATTTAATGAATTTAGTAAAAGACTAATTTCCAGACCGTAGGTTCAGGTTTTTGTTTTGTTTTGTTATATATAAAGTATTTTATCTTTCCTCTGGGATGCATTGTTCAATTACTTCAAAAATACTTTCAAATAAATCATTCTATATATGCCATCTGGAATGCTCATGAAGAGAATATGTTGTTTTCACACCATTCCCCTTGGATTTGGGTGTTTTTCTTTAAGCAAAAGTAACTGCATTTTCATGAGGAAATCCAATTACCATCATTCTTGATTAATTTTACAATGTTTTCACCCACCATTACTGTGTGATATTGGTATAATATGACATCCGTATTCATGAGGGACATATTTAATTCATATTTTATGCCAACAATATCATCAAGCCAATGAAATACTTATGAAAACTATCCCCTGGATTCCTGAAACTAGAATCCCCATGGATATTTGAAACTGTGGGTGATCGTGAACCCTATAATTTGAGTATATTTGGACCAGATGCATACCAGAGAATTGCACTGGAGGACCCAAAGAGGCCCACAAACACTTTCAGGGAAAATCTTTGTTGGAGTGTGGATAAGTGGAAAAGTGGATATCAAATTCATGGTTATGGGGGTCATCTTGTAAAATTGTATTTGAATAGTACATTGAAAATGTTCAAGCCAGTTGACACCAAACTGGGGGGGACAACTAATACCCAAGAAGACAGGATCAGAATCTGAACTGACATTGACAAATTAGAGAGCTGAATGAAGGACCTAATTACATTGACAATTGGAAAGCGTAGGAAAGCAGAGGGAACCAGCTTAATTCATTCCCTAGCATCTTTCCCTGTCTTCAGGGAAAGGCAAGCTACCCCGTGTTCTTTTCCATAATTTCTCATGCCATCCTGCTTCCTTGTTTTATTGAGTCTTCTCTGTTTTAACTTGCTGGCAACATGGATTCTCATGGGCAGCCACTGGAAGTAAATGTGTGTCATCGGATAGCTTCTATGTGATTCTTTTGCCAGCATGTTAAACTGGAGAGAAGATGGGAGACTACATGGGATGAAGTCATAAATGAATTTCAACAGGGAGAAATGTACAATACTACATTTAAGCAATAAAACTGAAGTCCAGAGATATAGAATGACTAAAATGATCAAAGGTCTGGAAGACATGTCCTATGAGGAGTGGTTTAGGGAAGTGGGTATGTTTAGTTTGGAGAAAAGAAGGCTGAGGGGGGATATAATAGCCATGTTTAAAGAATCTCACATTGAGGGCGGGGGGGGGGGGGCAAGCTTGTTTTCTGCTGCTCTGGGGATTAAGACATGGATAAATTGGTTCAAACTACAGGAAAAGAGATTCCTCTTAAATATTAGGAAGAACTTTCTGATGATAAGAATTGTTCAGCAATGCAGTGTGATTCCTTGGAGTATGGTGGAGTCTCCTTCTCTGAAGGTTTTAAAGCAGAGACTGGATGGCCATCTGTTGAGGTGTTTTGATTCTCTTTTACTGCATGGCAGGGGGTTAGACTGGATTATTTTATGATCATTTTACTTTAAAAGGAGTGACAATCTCTATAGCAGAGCAATCACATTGCAAGGCACAAAGTACCACATCAGACAGGCAGGGGAAAAGAGGAGGAAACCACCCTCCTACATTCCCTGCTATCTTTCCCCATCTTCTGGGATGACCTCCTATTCCATGTCATTTTCTGTCATTTCATATGGTTTCCCCACATCCTCCCTGTTTTCTCCAATTAGGACTCTTGGAAAGTGAGTCATCTCTCCATTTTTAGCCACTGGCAACATGGATCCCCACAGATAGCCACTGGAAGTGGCTGTGCATCATAGGATGGCCTCTGTGGGACTCGATTCTACCAGCATCTGAAAACAGAGAGAATATGCCATCTAATAAGGTCCAAAGTGAACAACAACTGATCTTAGACCTGTGCTTCCTCCCACACTGTGCGTCCTCCCAGCAGAGATCAAAACATATATAAGCTAAGCCTCCTTTTTAACGCATATAGCATTAGGTATATCTACAAATTGTTTCTGAATAGTCAAATGCAGGCACTTATGGAGATTTCCGGGGGAAGGGAGGTGAAAGTGAGGTAGAAAGAGAACACGAGTAGCAAAGCCAATAGGAAGTCAACAAATATCCAAACTGTACATCAATGAGTACAGGCAGTCCCTGAGTTACAAACAACAGGCGTACCAACAACTCCTAGTGAAGAATGGGAAGTCACAACAGGAAGTGAGAGAAATCTACCCCCAAGATGTGAAAATTGCTCCTGGAAGAGTTATCATGGGGGGAAAGCATCTCCACTGAAGCTTTATTACCAACCCTTGTTTCCACAACAAGCCAAATTTAGCTAAATCCAATTACTACAGGGGCAGAAAGTGAAGTTAAATCTTCTGAACAGGGGCACAGACACATATGCACAAGCTGGAAAGTGTCCAGAGGAGGGCGACTAAAATGATCAAAGGTCTGGAGAACAAGTCCTAAGAAGAGTGGCTTAAAGAACTGGGCATGTTCAGCCTGAAGAAGAGAAGGAGCCATGTATAAATATGTGAGAGGAAGTCACAGGGAGGAGGGAGCAAGTTTGTTTTCTGCTGCCCTGGAGACTAGGATGCAGAACAGTGGCTTCAAACTACAAGAAAGGAGATTTCATCTGAACATTAGGAATAACTTCCTGACTGTGAGAGCCGTTCAGCAGTGGAACTCTCTGCCCCGGAGTGTGGTGGAGGCTCCTTCTTTGGAAGCTTTTAAACAGAGGCTGGATGGCCATCTGTCAGGGGTGCTTTGAATACAATATTCCTGCTTCTTGGCAGGGGGTTGGACTGGATAGCCCATGAAGTCTCTTTCACCTTTATGATTCTATGATTCTATGAAAACTAACATTAACCTTTCCCTGTACTATCCAAATGTGTGTTTCTGTGGACGAAGTTACACTTTCAAAGTTACACATGCATACACACATGCACACAAGCATACAAAGTTTGTTGCTATTTCTAGCATTTTACATTTGGTGCTGGGTTCCACATGTGTTTGTGACAAGGTACAGCTCTTTTTCACATTCAGTAATTCCTGTAGAGGAAAAAAAAGTACTTTTTTATTTATTTCTCAGCTATACTGGTGTTTAGAATTAACACTGTGTAACATTATTTAGTAAGAAATTATAAATTAGGTTTGTTTATTTGAATGTATGTGTGTGTTGCACACATATACACATTCTATTCAAGAGAACTTGCTAATGTCATGGCTTCACTGTTTCCAAGTGTTTTGAACTGAATTTCAAGCATTATAGCTCCATACCTCTGGCATCTCCATTTTTTTACAGCAGATAATATTTCCTCCCTTAAATTTAGCAATCTCACCTCCTCCCAGATAGTCCCACCATATGTTTTGAAATAATAGCATGTAATTTATATTGCATTTATGAAATGATATGAATATGTATGTGTATATGTATAGATATCTGCACTGTAGATTATGCCTGTCTATTTTCATTGGACTTGGTATTTTTTCTCCTCCTATTCAAACCAGACTGAAAGTCCCAGTTAGGCCTGCAGAAATCCTTCTGCATACCAAATATAGCCCTTTGGACTTTGCCCATTGAATTAATAAATAAGTAAATAACTGTTTAATGGAAGAAAATCTAGACTATTTAAATGACTGGTGATCATTTTCTCTATGTGCCATGAATTAACTATTGCTATGGACCAATGAAAGAGATCTGAGCTTGATTCTACCTTTTCTGCAGAAAGTAGTTTTAGTCTTCTGCATATAAAAACAGATTGTACCTTTAAGATCCTTTGACTAAATGCTTACATCTAAAAAGTACATCTACACTCAGACTACCACGTTTGCTGTAGTTAGGGGCATAAGAGCCCCCCGAAAGTGAAAAATCATAAATAAGGCATTGCTATTTTTTTTAGCATAAGAGAATACCCCTTTAAGAATTTCTAGGTCTTCCAGTTAGAAGCCGACCATAAAATTGCATTCGAGGACCTAGAGATTTGTAGAGAGCCATTCTCTCTCAAAATCTTTAGGCCTTCAAGCATGACTAGAGGAAATTGGCCATAGAGATTCCTAGATAGAACATTTTAAGTAAATCCGTGAGTAATCAATTCTGCAAAAGCCAAAAACACAAATTTGAAGGGCCTACTGCATTTAGTCAGTTTCTAGGCAGAATAAATATAATTTTGAATATTTATATGGTGATGCAGTTCCCATGAAGGTTGCATATTCTTCTGACAGTGCAGATAGAAATAGCTTTCTCCCATCTACAAAACCTGAATATCTGGTGTCACAGTGCTGTATGTAAAGGATACTTTTTTCCTTTCATTTGAATAGAAAACTACAAACAAACCATACATGCCTTAAGGGCTTCATGAGATTTCTTCCACTTTTGCCAAGGCCTATATAATAGCAATTGATATGCTGAACTAAGATCAGTGGCTCAGTTCAGGTACATAAAGTTAAGCACCATTAAGTAATGCTCTATCATGGAAGATGGGGATTCTCAGTGTTGTGAAGTACAGAGATCTGGCTGGAGGAAATAACATTATGTTGCTAAGACTCTGAGATCAATTTATTGTCATTTATCTCTTCAGGAATGTGAATCAGTTCCCTGTCTTAATGGTGGTTCGTGTCAAGATTTGGTCAATGCATTTGAGTGCATTTGCTTGAGTGGATACACTGGTGAATTCTGCGAAGTGGATATTGACGTTTGTGTCGAACCTCTTCTGAACTCATCCCTCTGTTTCAACGGAGGTAAATGTGTTGATGGCCCTGGAAGAACTTTTTATTGCAGGTCAGTGGTCTGCTTACCAATAACGGGAGTAATCAATATACATCAAGCTGTTGAGTTTAAAATAAAAAGGGGGGAGGATTTTGTTATACAGCTCTTTAAAAATCAAACTGAATTTCATGTTGTTGTTATTTTCTAAAGAAGCAATTTTAAAAGAGGTTTAACAATGTGTGGATTAACCATTCAGGGCAATTCGAGGGAGCTGCTTGGATTCTATGAACAACACATACATGGTCAGAACATGGTTTAAATAAACCAATCCTATTAATGGGGACAGGGGGGTGTGGATGCTGGAATTTCCTGCGAACTGAAGAAGCTTCTCCCAGAAAGTCGGCAATCCTGTGGTCAGTCTCCATGCAATGAGTGTGTATTAAATTTAAGGACTTTACAGTAGATTTGTTAGAGTTAACATGCATACACTGTGGTAAAACATGAGCTTAGGAGCTCTCTATTCACTGATTCACTTTGAGATGATTAGAAACATTTTATCACAACTCTACATTGCATACAATTGAAAGAAATGACAACCTATGTAATTTCTACACTGGCCACATAATGCAATTTGAAGCAGAATAGAGGCCACAGTGACTGCTCAGCATACACCACCAATGTGTGATGCTGTGCACATCAAAAGGGATACAATGCATTAAAGAAAGACCTGGAAGAATCCAAGTTCTGTAAAAAAAAAAAAGTGCTGCAGCAGATGCTAGTGTTTTCCAGGATGAAACACAGTTCCACAAAATGCGAAACACATTATAGGCACCCATTTCTTCTGAAGTACAATAAAGTATCCAGAACAGGAACTGTTAACAAATGTCACAATGGCATGTCTGGGCAGCAGGGGATAATTGCTCCATGGGGAGGGGGGGGGGAGAGGGGGAGATTGATTATTTGGTGAATCAATTGTTTGGGTTTTTTTTTACTCTTTTCCCTTTCTTTACCTATATAATTATTTTCATCTTTTCTAGTTTCAAATATTCTTTAATAAGTAGCCAATCCATTTGCTTTTTAGGTTTTGCTTGGTGTTTTGATAAAAGTTGAGTTAATCTATCCATATTCATAATCTCCATTATTTTATATCATCCATTGTTCTATTGAAGGTGTTTCTTTTACTCTCCAATTTCTCGCATATACTATTCTTGCTGTTGCTACTAAATAGTTGAAAAGTATTTCTTTGTTCTTCTCATTCTCCATGTAAATTAATCCCAATAAGAAATGTTTCGGTGTCAACTGGACTGTTATATCTAATATTGTCTGTATAATTTCATGTATTTATATCCAGTATTTTCTTGCAGCTCCGCATGTTCACCACATATGGTAGAACACACTGTACAGGTATGCGCGAAACAATTGTACAGGTGTGGATGATTATGGAGGGAATTAATCTCAGGCTTCAATTGTGTATAAGAATATATTATAGAGGAGGCCAATTATTACTTGTAAATTAAGGTAACTGCCACCAACGTGAGGTATTTGAGGTACCACCGATGAGATCTGGCTTTACAGACGCAGATTAATTGAGATGAGACGGTCTTCAACAAAAGATAACAAGTTTATTGTGTACAAAGCGTATGGTTGCAGGCTGTTAAATAACTTATAGAACTTTGAATATCACTTGGTTTGTATTACAGTCCACTCTTCCAAATAACACAGCTCGTGGCTAACTTTTACTGAGGTGAAGCTCTTTCGTGAACAATGTTTCCTACTATGAATAGCCTTCTAATTTGATCTTTCCTTGATCAAATCTCTGATCTCTAGCCCTTCCTTGACTAGAGTTCTTAGCAAACTTCCTTTAGTCTTCCTTGACTAAAGAAACTGGCCAGGTTTTTCTCGTCAGTCCTTCTAGACTGAAAAACCTCCAGCTGCTCACACACCTCTCTTCCAGGCTCTTTCAAGCCTCCACACTCACTGCCCCTTTTCCAAAGACGCAGCTTACTTTTCCTGCTTGGTTCCGCCCACTTCTCACTCTCTTGAGCTAGCCTGCCTGGTCTCCTTGGCAATGCTCACTGTGGATTCAAACCTGATAACTCTAGTTTTAGCTACTGTTACAAACACAAATATATACTCTAACAGTTAAACACATACATAGTATCAATGACTTCTGCACACACACCTACTTGAAAACCACACTTCCAACATTTATTGTGTAAAGTTTTGCAACATTTTGCCAATTTTTGAGAGGTTATATATCTTTGGTACATCATTTTGTATCCATTTTCATTTAAATCGTAAGCATAGGTAAATTTTATTTTATAGTTCCAATTTTTTCCCATTCCTCTAGTTTTATTGTACAGCCTATATTTGCTGCACATTTTTCCATATAGTTTTTAACTTGCTCCATTTCTGTATCCCATTCTAACAGTTTTTTGTAGATTTTTGTAATAGCTTTGTTTACAGTTTTCATTATTTTGCCCCAAAGTGACTATTTTTCTGCAAATCCTATAATTTTATCTTTGTTGTAATTGTGTTTTAACTGTCTATACAGGAACCAAAGTTTTTCATTATGAACTACTGGATGATCTTTGCAGTCACTTCTATGATTTTATGAATTTCCCACTATGTATGATTTTAGTGGAAGTATAATTTGGTAAACTATAGTTTGTCTGACTGTGTTTGGTTCATGATCCTGGTATGTTCCATAAACATTGTTTCACTTAACCAGGGTTTCTCAAGTTTGGACAACAAAGAGATGTGGTTGGCTTAAAGCACAAATGGATGCTTCCAATTTCTATGTGGCCACCTAGAAAAAAAGAGTAGAAGGAGATTATGAAGGGCTGAAATTTGAATGTAATCTTAACCTAAAGTTTGGTGTTTTGTTTGAACTAACCCAATAATAGATTAGAAAGGTTCAATTATTTTCACAGGAAGGTTTCGGGATATATCGCAACTACCACAATGCCTAAATCAATGCTAGTGTGATAAGTTTTATGTGATTCCCATGCTTTTATCTTATAAATACAAAAGCCTAGTGATGAGATGGAAGGAAAAAAGGAGGATATTCCAATCAGTGGATAAAGTTACATAAAATTAAAATATCTTTAACCATATTAGACCATTTCAATAATTTAGGCATAATGAAGACCACAAGGATACATGCGTTCATTGTGAAAATATACCTTTTTGCAATAGAAATTAGATTTAACAAAAATGACTGGATTGGAAAGTGACTCATTTGCTGAGCTTCAGCACGATGTAAATGGTGGTGATCATTTAATTAATTCTTTGTGAGAGTAAAAAAAATATCATAGGCACAAAGCTTTCAATGTTCTTTAGGCTGCTTCAAGATGCATTTATCAAATTCTTTTTGTATAAAAATAATAGTCAGCATTCCACTTGGACTTGCCTGCCTATTGAAATGCTTTTCAAAAAGACTTCTAATCCTTTGTGACAATTTTCTTTGTGAAGCACCAATATCCTCCCAAAGCATATATTTCAATATTCAATTAAATATTTTGCAGATGATAGTCTGAAGCAAATCTGAAAGGAGCTAATAATTTTCTTAAGAATAATTGTGAAGTAAAACAGTAACTACTACATCTAAGTGGATTATACTACTGAAATATGTGTGGTAAATATCTTAATATTTTATTTACCTTTCTATTTTGTTCTTTTAACACAGTAGCAAATATGAATATGGATGTAAACTAGAAGAGTTTGTGTGTGTGTGAGAGAGAGAGTCTGTCTGTCTGTGTATGCAAATCTATCACATATCCTGCATTGCTATAATAATCCCTAAAGATATACTGAACTCAGCTCATAATAGCAAAATTCAAATAAAAAGAAATGCATTAAAAAAAACCAGATTAGAATCACATAACTCCTCGCAGTTGAGAACAAAAGACAAAACTCCAAGAGATGCCACAAACCAATGCCCATGGGACTGAAGACTGGGGAAAAATCCAGGAGTACTACCTGAATTTGTTTCTCCAGAAAGGATTGGAGCCATATTAATCAGTGGCTACACATTCTATCCCAGATGGACAATCCAGAAGGATGTCATGTATCAGAAACCTCTGGGGGTCCTTCCACACAGCCCTATATCCCAGAATATCAAGGCAGAAAATCCCTCATTACCTGAGTGTGGACTTAGATAACCAAGTTCAAAGCAGATATTGTGGGATTTTCTGCTTTGATATTCTGGGATATAGGGCTGTGTGGAAGAGCCCGAAGATGCCAAATAGAACCAAGAGAGGCATGTTCCAGATCCAAAAGTAGATCATCCACCAAAGCAACCAAAGCAGTTTATGTCCCACCACAAGGGCTGGATTCTGTTTGAAATTATTCTAGATAATTTGCCTATCCTGAAATATCTTGTTTGAAATGTATTTCCACTGATATTAAAAATCCAATGTTTTCCCTTAAAAAAATCACCTGCACCCATTACCATTCCAATTTTAGTCTTCTTCGTACTATTTGCCTTCTTTTACTTCCAGCCTCTGGCTTCATTTACCCATACTTGACTATGGTGATTCATAAAATTTTATGAATAGCATTGTTAAATACATATGATATAACATCACAAATGATTGCAGCAACTGGAAAAAAAATATGTTTTCAACCATTTCTCAATATTTTTTGGAAAATTCATTTCATCTCCAACTACATTGCGACCCCACTGAGATGAGGGAGTCTTATATTCTTTTCTTTCTGTGGAGTTATTATGACTATGACACTGCATATAAAATGTGTTCTTTTCTCATAAAGATGGCAGATTGGTATTAGCCATTTTTAGTTAAGATATAACAAAATTTGGCAAGGACCAACCCAAGACTACAGGTACAATTGTATCATAAATATGGAACAAGGCAGTGAGCATGTGGTGAGCTATAGATCTTCCTGGATGCTAGGAGAATACTATTTCAGCTCTTAGCATCTTATACCATATAAATTTGCCTTTATTGCTGTGTTTCATTGTAGTACTTTGTGCAAGGTCACTAACAGCTGGCAGTAACATCACAAGCTATTAAGCAAATCTTTTCCTTCCAAATGTGGAAAGAACTATA